ATATAGTACTATAAGAATAAATAAATAAATAAAAAGAAAACAAAATAAGAAATTTGTAAACGTGTGAGGATGATTAAATTGTAAACCAAGTTAACGAGAATTGTATTAAGAGGCTGATCAGCGGGGATTAAGCGAATTGTGAAACAAGGGATGTAGGACTCGTAAGCAGGATCTTCGAACCAGAAGAGGGGTACATCGCAATCTTCAATGGAAAGAATGTAAAGTTACAAACAGACTGTGGACATGAAAGAACCATAAATGGATCAGCACTGATCACATTCAGCAAGTGCAGAGCCATGGTAAATAACATCCAATATGAAACAATGAAAAGACTTGGCACAGCGAGACTAAACTTAAAGATACCTCAAATCGGAGCTGTCCAGAAAAAAATAACTTCCCAAGAATTGGAAATATATGAGCTAAAGATGGAGGACATCGAGACGAAATCAAAGATCAATAATTCCAGACGGAACCAGCGATATACGCAACAGCAACATACGTAATGCTAACTGTACTAATGATAATTGTGGCAGCAGTGGCTTGCTTTTCGAAAAGAACAACTACGTTTACACAAGCGACACCAGTGGCATTCACAACAACTATTGCTCCCTCCACCACTTTCACAGCTACCATCGCTGAGGATGAGGAGTTACCGCCTCGGAGTCCCCCATCGAAACCCTCACGTCAGTCAAAAAACTAGCAACCAAATACATTGTTGGCAATAAAGTTGCCATCCAAACTCAAACATCTGAGCCACTGCAGTTCCAAGGCCCACATATGCATTCGCTCCAATTTCAATTCCATTCCGCTAGGTCCGCATAATTTCATATGAACATTTATGCATTAAAAGACAAATATTAAAATAACGAAGTTCATTTCGATTTATATTGTCAAAGAACACGCAATTTGTTACTCTTAAATTATTGGGAGGCTCCCCGAACCAAATTAGAATATCATTCTTTAAGTTAACTCGCGCGTTGATTCGACAGAACGATGTAGAGGGCGAGCAGCTTAAGCACCAGCTTATGCATTAATTGTTGGTGATCAAGTTGAGAACTGCAGTTTTAAATGATGCACGAAAGTGAACCTCTAATGACGTCAGTGTCAGTGACGTCGATTATTGGGTTTTTTGATGAAAGTTTGGTAGGGGTAGATGTATGAAATGGTTATCAACCCAATATGTCCACAACCGTAGACTCCAAGTGCTCTCTATCTTTCTGAATGAATCGGCTCACCTTAACTGCTTGTGACTAGAATTCACCGCTAAAGACAAACTGATAATACTGCACCGGGACTCCAAGCTTAAAATTATTGAATTTAAGATCTATATCTTTTTTTGTTAATGAATGGCATGATATGCTGTCAGAATTTACTTTTAACTTGTAAAAAAAAAATTTCCACAGCGCCTCTGGCTTTATGTTTACAGCAATTTGCCAATATGCAAAAATCTTTTGCTGGGCAATACTTCAAGTTGTTCATAAGCGAGCGCCGAACCAATAATACGCTTCTTGTTGTTATGGTCTGACACAACGGGATTGATATGATGGGAAGTTAATGAAGCTTGAGGCTTGTTAGCTACTTTTTTCTTCTTCCGCTTTTTGGTGCTAACATTAGTCGGGGCCTGTACAGATTCGGGAAAAGAGTTTTGAAACTTTGTATTTAAATGAAAGTAAAGGCTTTTATATTGAAGAAGTTCTTCAAAGATCTCGTCTGTTTTTGAGTGCGAATCATTGCTCACTATGCAGCTATTGCTGAGCAATTTTATCGAAACTGTATTCATAGCACGTAAATGGAGTCAAAACGAAATAAAAAACGCGTCTGCTCTCAACGAATGCTCATCAGAGGCTGATATGGCCCCAATGCCCTCAATTTCGGAGGAAAAAAATAAAGCTCGTTATTTTACAAAAGCCTTTGGTTGCCAACATTTATACCTTTTTAGTTTTTTACAGAAGCATATCGACTAATCATCGATACCGGTGCCGCAGCATCCCTGCTGAACGATTAGGATCTGCAACAACGACTAATAAGTGCACCCTGGCGAGCAACAGTACATGGTCCCAATTAAACAGGACTTCTTTCTAGTCGAGGCAGCACACCTAGCCTGCTGGTCGTGGTCGTCCTGTTGGGCTATCAGGCCGTGTATTTGAAGGCTCTTTATCTACGATTTCCTTGGGAACTCTGCCGCAATTTGCACCGACTGCGGAATTTGCTGTGCCCACCTGTATGCCGCAATACACTTAATGGTTCGATGCCGCTCTCAGGAAAAGCTACCGGTGGCGATTTTGGAACGTGGAGCTCATTCTCAATTGCCACCTAAAGTTCTGCTAGCCAGCAACTGGATACCTCGAGCCCCTCTACAGGGTCTGGCACTCAAAGTGTAACCAATTAAAAAGGTTATAAATTAAGTTTGGAAAATTAATTTTATTTAATTCAAAGTACAAAATGTGTAAAAATAACACAAAATTAAGAAACAATTTACTTTTGCTCGATACCTTTTGCCTTGACTATAGCCTTGAGACGGTCGAAGAATGAATCGCAAGCTGCTCGAATGTGACTTGCAGGTATTTTGGCCCACTCGCGGACAAAGATTTTTTTCAACGCCTCGAGACCGGGGTATTTATTACTTCGGACTTTGCTCTCCAAAATGGCCCAAAGAGAATAATCCATCGGATTCGCATCTGGTGAATTCGACGGCCATTGTGTGGACGTTATGAAGTTCGGAATATTGTATTCCAGCCATTCTTGGTTCACTCTGGCCTTATGAGCCGGTGCTCAGTCCTGTTGAAATGTCTATGGTCTACCACCGAAATGTTTGTCTGCTCACGGCTTGAAGGCAACCTTCAGAATACTTTCCTGATAATAATAACATTTATCTTGACTCCAGGCTTGATAAAAACGATTGGCAACACTTCGAGTGCCGGACCCATAGCACCCTTCACCTAGTGACGGTGGGACAAGTTGAACCGGTGAAGATTCTCGAAACCGACTTGAACCACGACTCAGAAGAGAACGCGAAACTCCTCGGTGACAAGGTACCCTCGGATAAGACCTAAAACGACCTTCGATCAAGCCCAGTCGAATTCATGACTGGAGAGAATGTTTGGCTCTACTCTACTACTTGGCGGGTGGGACGGTGCTCAAAGGTGCAGTTTGACCTGGTCTACAAGATACGACTCCCCGGGAAAAGTTCTACCAGTACCGTTCATGTCAACCGCCTGGCCCCGTGTAGAAACACAGAGCCAGAAGTACTCGGCCAGGAGACTCAAGTCTGAGAAGGGGGTAATGTAATGTATTAGATCTACGGAAACCCTTTCAGTGAGCAGATATGGCAACGTTGTAATGTACAAGATAGTTACGAAGAGTTGATCACCACACTACGCGGCAGATATTCGTTACAGTATATACACTGACAAAAATCGTTGAGTTACGTTTAAGGCTCCTTAAAAATACCCTATGTTTTTCAAACGTCTTTATTAATATGGTCATCCCAATTGAGCGTGTCATTTAAAATAAAGCCTAGGTTTGTTACCTTTCATATATAGCTGATGGGCGAATTAAATATTTTTGTTTTAATAATAGTTTAGGGTTCATCTGGTTCTTGCTTAAAATTTCTTTAAGTTCCGTATTGGTATTATTAATACACTCATCACTCTTTTAGCAGTCGATTTAATTTAAGTGACTATAACAGTTTAACCCACGAAAAAATAGTTTTTTTTTTAAAGAAAGAAAGAAAGTACCTAACATAATGTTTTGAAATTTTTTCACAAAATTAGGTGAGCCTTAAACTTGGTTTTAAAATTTTTAATTAAATAAAATTTTGAGAAAAAATGGGACCATAAGCTGTCTGGCGAGGCTCCAAAAAAATGTACTCAAACTGCTGACATGATTCAGGTCAAATGAGTGGCTGAAATCGAAATACTTAAAAATATTATGAAAGCTAAATAATTTCCCCTATATATATATTTCCTCTACGTTAATAAAAAAAATCAAAAGTTTACCAAAATGGAGTAGGTTTGAAAAAACGTGGTTTTTGGGGTGAATAAATGACTTAATAAATTCTACTTTTTAACCAAACCAAAAGTGCGTAAGACCCACTAAAGAAAATTATGTGTGTGTTAATTTGAAAGCAATCGGTCAACTTGTAGTCAAGTCAGCAGTTTTCAAAAATTTAGTTTCGAGATTTACACATCTAACATTTTTGGGTGCAGCGTTGTAAGCCTGCGAGCGGTCGCTATTTAGAACGCTGGTTTTTGGTTTTCAAAAACTATTTTAGATACGACCTTGCTGCTTTATTTGTAGAATATAACTTTGCGGGACCGCACCTTCAACATGACGACATGTTTTTTTCTTGAGACTTCAGCCTGACTTCTTTTTTATAGATATGGTGTCAATAGTCGACGTGACGTGGTAGCACTCATAGAACTAATGCTATGCAAACATTTAATTAAATACTTATGTTTACCTTTTGTGCACCTTTTACCTTACCTAGATATTTTAAATATTTCTTCCAATTTATTTAAAACATTTTATTTGAAATATTTACATATTCCACTTTTGGAACTTTAAAACTGCAATCCAGAATTTAAATTTCTAAAACATGTGAGTAACCTTTGAAACAGCTATTGGAATTGGCCAATTTTTTAAAAATACTTGCGCTGCTCAGGCGTCTCTGGAATCTGCTTATCCCAAGATCTCAACGTTTATACGGACGGGCCTAAGGATATACGGACATGGCTACATAAACTGTACTTTTGATCCATATCAGACATATAATTTTTTTTTAGAGCTGGAAAGGTTTTTTTTCACTCTACGACACCGGTCTCCACACTTATTTGTGATGGACTTGGTCACGAAAAAGACAATGCGTGTGTCGGCAGAATTCTTTTCTATGTCCTCGAGATAGAGAAGTAATGACCGCTGCTCTACAAGTAACGGGATCAAATATGGGAAATTTGAAATGTATGCAGTTTGTCGAACAGTCTTATAAAATAAATACATACCTTTTGCCATACAAGGGGAACAAAGTACAACCAGTAAAGCCATAAAAAAGCCATAACTAACATACATAAGTATACAGCAAAATCTGGATTGTAAGATTTCCAAAGTTCCATAAGCTCCCTCAAAAAAAAAAAAACGGTTGACACAGTAGTCTTCATTATCTGTAACAACAAAACACATATAGTAAGAATTATAAGTTCCTTAGCACAAATAAAAAATAATATTTAAATCTTTGTTTCCTAATTTAACTTTATTTTATATTTCTAATGAAACTTTTTTTTTATATAAAAATTTAATTACTGTAATGAATACATTTTTGAGCGATGTTTGAAAATCAAATTACGTTCAGAAACGAAAAAACGCGTTTTCTGACCAATTATAAATGACATTAACTGATAGATCAATGAAACTGAAGCCAAGTCTCAGCAACCATAAAACCATAAAACGTTAAAATTTTTTGTAGGCATGTATATTTCAATAAAAACCAAGAAAGGAAGCAAACTTCGGCAAGCCGATGTTCATATACCCTTGCAGCTATTGTTAAAATTAAATATTCTTTAAGACATTAAAATTATGATTTACTTGCGTGTATGTTTAAAAGGATTGAAGCTATGATGAATTGCAGCTCAATTATTTGAGTTCCTATGGCAGCTATATGATATTGTTTTCCGATTTTAGTAAAACTAAAAGCGTAATTCTGAACTAACAAATAATTAAATAATCAAAAAGAATTTCTAAAAAAATACAAAATAAAGAAGTTAAATTTTTTTTATATTTTATAATTTATTTTATAATTGGTCCTATGGGACCATAGAAATAATAAAAATATATAAAATAACTATCTAATAATTGAGCTGCAAATCATCATAGCTTCAATGTTTTTCAACATATACGCAAGTAAATCATAATTTAAATAAAAATAATAATTTTAATGTTTTCAAAAGTATTTAATTCTTGCAATAGCTGCAAGGGTATATGAACTTCGCCTTGCCGAAATTTGCTTTCTTTCTTGTTTCAGTTATTTTTCCGATTGTTCCGATGGGAGCTATATGCTATAGTCGTCCGATTTTGATGAAATTTAAACCGTAATTCTGAAATATTTAACTATTACTAAATGTCGAAGAACTAAAAAAAATAATAAAAAACAGGAAAGGTATCATATTTTTTATTTTTGTTCTTATGGAAGCTATGTGCTCTAGGCGTCCGATCCGGCTCGTTCCGACTTATATATACCTGCAATAGAAAAACAACTTTTTGGAAAGTTTCATGCAGATAACTTTGAAACTGAAGGACTAGTTTGCGTAGAAACGGACGGACAGACGGACATGGATAGATCGACTCTCGTAGTGATGCTGATCAAGAATTTATATACTTTATAGGGTCGGAAACGTCTCCTTCACTGCGTTGCAACTTCTGACTGAAATTATAATCCCTCTGCAAGGGTATAAAAAGCAAATGAACTGAACCTTGTTGAAACTTTTCATAATAAATTGGGAAACATTAGACTAATTGTCGTTATTCTAAGAACCGATATATCGACTTTGATGGATTATTACACAAAATGTTTTCATTTTTAGCCTACCATATTTGAAGATGTTAATGTCAATGGTTGAAGAGACTCGAAAAGCGCGTATTTAAATCGATAGGAATCAAAAATCGTTTTTTTTTTTCAAAAATGTAAAAATATGAGTTACAAATTGGGCTACTAAAAATATACTTGGAATCCGCACTTTTAAGTCAAAACAATTTCAAAGCTTAGACAATAATATTTGCGTGTACATGTGGAAATCGCTTCGGACTCTCATTTCAATATCCAATGCTGTCGTAAATTTCATTATTTGATTTTCAAATTGTACGATCGACAGGGTGGACCTCAGTCTTTTTTGTGCGCCGCCGTGTTTTTTTTTTTTGTTTAAAAAACATCAATAACACCCTCGTTCTAAATTTCGCTTTTTTCGTTGTGCAGATATCTTACATCTTAAAGAATAGTCAAACAACTTCAGTACGCTTTTTGTAACAAAAAACCTTATAGGTCTTCTACACGGTGGTATTTGAACCGCAAAATAAAAAATTATAATTTGTGAACAACGTTTAAAAATGAAATAAAAATAATTTTTGGTACGTTTTTTGCAATAAAAAGGTCTTATAGGTATTCTAAATTTCCGTTTTATATTTTAAAAATCACAAATAATTAAAAATCTTCCTCGCAATTAAGCTATTGCACACTGGGACAGATATCTAATTTTTTGGCCAAAAATCTTGCATTTCTTTCCCTGTACAGCTAGTAAGCTAAAACAAAGCAGATAATCTCCTTAAAAGATTGATCTTTTCAACCAAAAAAAATAAAATGTTAAGAATTTTAATATAAAATATTTTTAATTTTTGCATATTTTTTTCCTAGAAAAAAGAGGAGGAAACGCATTTTATGAGTATGTGAAGATGCTTCTAGGCTTCAGTGGGCTGCATAAAACATTTAAAACTGGCTTACCTTCAAATTAAGTTTATACCTAAAAGCGCGATTCTCGAAAACTAAAGCAAAACCGAATGAAATCGGCGGTTGATTTTGGTTGTTAATTGATCAAATAACTTATTTTTAAAGGAATCACTTCATTTTCAGAGGGTACCCGAAAGTGGTTCTAAAGCAAAGTATCCCACTACGAAAGAAACGTGATTTCTTAAAGTTATTCTCGATATTTTATAAATAAGTAAGAAATCCAGCCAAATAACAAATCGATCTAGCCATGTCCGTCTGTCCTTCAGTTTCTACGCAAACTACAGTTCATATCACAATTATAAGGCATCTGCAAAATGCTTTTTGAAATCCTGAAAAGTTGTTGGATTCTTAAACTAGAGGCTTAACAAAAATTTATGACGAAAGTGAATGCAGTCCTTGACGGTAACGTACCGTTACTTTCTATTTTTGGCCTAACTTGGAAGGGAACCGTTACATTTTCAACCAAGATAACGAAATTATCCTAGTTTCTGCCTTAACACAATTATAAGACCCATTGCAAATTGACACGTAACCGTGTCAATTTTTTTTTCTTAAAGTTGAGTTGTAATTAAAATTTAATACTTTTTGCATAAAATGCCACGCTCTACGCCCTTGACATACCAAGAAAAGGGTCTATTCTGGCCTATTCACTGCTCGGCTTGAATGTGAACCAAATATCTAGAATTATTGGTAGAATTCGAACCGTTACAAAAAATTTTCTCTAGAGTCCAGACAATTATGGTAAAAAACGAAAACCAATACTTTCTGACTGCGAAAAAGGCGTATATTACATAAAGCCAGTAATTCTAACGCGTTGTGCTTCCAGCTAGCTGCTCTCAGCCGTCGAAAAGTCAATCAAATGGCTGTCTGAAGGACTCTAAAAATCTCGGGAAGCGTCCAAAAATGGCTCGCACTGTTTTTGCTAGACGCAATTTAGATACTAACTTAAATTCAATTTAACATATATCTTTAATATTACCCTTATCATTTTTTATTCATAAAAGGTCATTTTTTTGGATGAAAAAAAATTTAACCTCGATGGACCAGATGGATTTAGACATTATTGGCGAGATTTGAGGAAGGAGCCCCTTAATTTTTCAAGGAGAAATTTTGGGGGCGGATCAGTCATGGTTTGGGGCGCTTTTAATAAGCTTGGAACTCTTAATTTACACTTCACAAGCTCCAGGATAGACAGTACATTCGGGTACTGATCAATAGCCTGCTTCCATATTTTATGGAAAAATCGGGAAAAGCCGTATATATTTATGCAGAACAATGCCCGAATCCATACGAGCCGTCCAACCACACAGTTTTCGCGAGATTCTTCTGCCGAAGTTATGGACTGGACAGCGTGCTTTCCGAATCTGAACCCTATAAACCTTTGGGGAGTACTAGCAAGGCGAGTTTATAAAGATAATGCCAGGTATGAGCGAGTTCAGGTCCTTAAAACAGTTATTTTGTCTGAATGGAGCCAACTTGATTCAAGTTTATTTGAAAAACCTCATAAATTCAATGAAAAAACCAATTTTTGATGTTGGTATTTGTCAAGGTTCTGCCATAAACTATTAGAATGTTGTTTTCTTATAGTACATATATATTTATATTTATATTTATAGTTTCTTATTTCCATGTAGGAAATAACCAAAAAACCAAAAGTGTCTTATAATTATGATAAGGTTAAAAATTATATTTTTTTCATTACTGTTAAACAAAATGTATACACAGTAAAATAATAAACTAAAACCAACTTAACACATGTCTAATTTATCTTTTAACAATTTCAGACCAGTTTTCCGCCATTTGGTTTGATATTATATAAAATATCTAAAAAAGTCTAACTGTCTTATAATTTTGATATGAACTGTAGTCTCTCAGTTTTAAAGCTATCTGCATGAAACTTTCCCAAAAAGTTGTCTTTCAATTGCAGGTAGTACATAAGTGGGAACGAGCCGGATCGGACGACTATAGCATGTAGAAGAAAAATAAATAAAAAAAATTATAACTTTGCTGTTTTTTAATTTTTTTGTTAGTTTTGCGACATATAATAATGGTTAAATATTTCAGATTTATGGCTTAAATTTCATCAAAACCGGACGACTATAACTTAAAGCTTCCATGGAAACAATTAAAATATTAAAAAAAAATTTTTAAATGTGACTTTTCTTTTTTTTTATTTTTTTTTTCTTTTTGACTTATTTATAATTTGACAGTTCAGAATTACGCTTTTAAAATTATTAAAACCATAAAACGATATATAGTAATGGTGTTTTATTTTAGAATAACGGTTTAATTTTGTTTAATATCGGAATATTACAAAATATTAATGGCAAACAAATTTTTTTATTACACACTGCTTCCAGGTTACTACTTTTTCTTTTATTTGTTCTTTTATATGTTATATCTATTATTCTTTGTGACTTGATTTTGTTATTATGGTGTGTTTTGGCTGGCTCAAGGTCTGGGTATTTATAGTGCCTTTTTTCTTTGTTGAAAAACACTTTCTTCTCCTTTCTACAATTTATTTAAAACCCCTTCAGGATCCGTCTTCAGGGCTGCACAACATATTAGCAAAACATAAGTATTAACATTAGCATTCACTTAATTGCAAATAAATTTCGGACAGCTACACAAAGACCGTTTTTTCCGCTGCAGAGTTATAAACTAATTTCTTAATTTATTTTGGTCAAGTAAATTTCTTTAGATGTAAGCGCCATTTTCGGAGTCTTTATTAAAGTTTATTTCGTAAATATTTTTAATATCAAATTCCAACTCGCTTAGGGTCCAATCAAATTCTACGCTACAAGCACCAATTTTAGTTTTAAATTCAGAAATTTTCTGCCAGAGCAAATGAAATTAATTTTTTCTAACTTGCAGAGGCTTACGTTTCTGACTTTGTATTTTTAGGAACGTTTCCTCGAAATATTCCCTAAGCTGCTTAATTTTTTCCAGTAATGTATGTTAACGCTTTTTTTAGTGCCTCCTTTAGCAGGTAGGATATTATATAGTTTTAATAGAATCATTCGAGGACAAAAAAAATTAGAACTTTTGCTGTTTTTGAATATGTTTGTTTAGTCTTTCGATATTTAGTAAGGGATTAATATTTTAGAATTAAAAAGATTTTTCCAATAGGTGCGCTTCAACTTTTTTCGATAGGGACGGCGAACGACGCCATGTTTTTCCTTGTTCTCTTGACATATGAAACTTCATTAGTATATATTTCATCATGAAACGCTACACACTTGAACAGTGATTGCAAATTGTGCAAATTTTTTATCAAAATAATCGTTCTGTTGCTGTTACTTTGAGAACATTACGGCCATTTTAGGTCCATTTAACAAGCCAGCCCGTTCGACAATCGACCGTCTAGTGGCAAAATTTGAGTCTACGTTTTCGCTAGATAATTTTCCGGTGCCCGTTAGAGCAAGAAGTGCTCTAAGTGATGCTTAACAGGACGTGGCCACATGCCACACAGCACACGCTGCAATCGCAATATTGAAAACTAAGTTCGATGAGCGTGTTATTTCGCGAAATGGACCGGTCGAGTGGCTGCCGCGCTCGTGTGATTTGACACCTCCAGACTATTTTCTTTGGGGTTACGTGAAGTTGGTGGTCATGCGAAAGAGTTTCATAATTAAATGTATATGTTCAAATTCGATAATAAAAAAAAGTTAGTTGAAAAGTCAAACCGTTTGTGTTTTATTCAAAAAAAAAAAAGTTGAAGCGCTCCTATTGAAAAACCCTTTATAATATTAATTGGACGACTTAATCATAAAGGTCCCACCGGACCAATCGGAATCAAAAACAAGAAAAAGCGCGTATAGTCGATATTCCTGTTAGATACCCGTTACTCAGATAACTAATTTAAAACTAAATTTTTCCCAAAAGCAATCGGAGTATAGGTGGGGCCATCTGTCGAACTCCAGTGTCATACTTTCACGATTTGTCGGCGTTAGAGTGGAAGTCGCTCTGTTTTGAAATAAAATTACGCTGCGTAGGAATTACTAGAACCTGCATGTCAAATTCCGAAATCTCTAGCTTTTATAGTTTCCGAGACCTCGACGCTCATACAGACGGACAGACAGACAGGGATGGCTAGATCCAGTCGGGTATTGATCCTGATCAAGAATATATTCTTTTAAGGGTCGAAATCGTTCCTTCTACATGTTACTTATTATGCAATGATTATAATATAACCCTTTAATCTACGAGTAACGGGTATAATAATGAAAGCTTTAATACTTAAGCA